TGGTAAGTAGCTGAAGATTTTGGAATCTTCCTAGATTTAACAGAGGCTATTAAATCACATTTGTGTAACTTAGTCCAAGGTTTGGTGGTTAGTATTGCTCCATAACGATTGGTAATTTTCCAAATGTAATAAATTAGATATTTGCTTAACTACTAAATCCAAATTCTACAAATTTTATATTTTAAAGAAAATAAATTTATGTTCATACATACATACATATGAGGAGGCCGCTAAAAACGTGTTTATTTTCAAATCCAGCGCTGTTGAAAGGTCTGCCAATTATTCACTACCTATTAGATTTTAAAAATAACTAAAAATTAGTTACATTCTTCAACAAAAACAGCCTTTGACAGATTTTCGCAGCAAAAGGACTTGATTTTCTATGGGATATGTATCCTTTTCTTTATAATTTCATACCTTTATTTTAATGTTTCTTCCTCTGTCTTCGTCTTTACATTTATCAGTATCCTCGTATCGATAACAAAATCGATAGTAACATCGATAAAAATACCGATACCAAAATCGATAACAACATCGATAACATAATCGATGAACATATCGATAAAATTATCGATACAAAATCTATAAAAATATCGATAACTAAATCGGTAAAAAGTTTCTATAACTAAATCGATACAAATATCGATTATTGTATCGATAAAACAATGGATACCAAAATCGATAACAATATCGGTGAAAGCATCGATAAAAATATCGATAAAAGATCTATGAAAATATCGAGAACTAAATCGATAAAATTATTAGTAAAAATATCGATTATTATGCCGATAAGTCCCGAGAATACCGAAAGTCCCGGACTAGTTCCCAGGTTGAGTCTGTGTCTCTATCTATATCCTTTTCTTTATAATTGCCTTTAATTTAATCTTCCTCTATCTTCATCTTTACTTTTATCGGTATCCTTACCCTCATCTTTTTCTTAATATTTATCTTTGTTTTTACCTTTATGTTTATGATTTTCTTCATCTATATATTCCCCTTCACCTTTGCTCTTATACATATAAGTAAAGTGTTTAAATTTACCTTGTCCTTAATTTATGCCTTTATCCTTACGCATCTTTGTTTTTGTTTTTACTTTTACCTTTGCCCTAATCCTTTTCTTTATATATGTACGTACTCACCCTTACTTTCATTCTTGTATTGGACTTTTTCTAAGTGTTATTCTTTGACCTCTTATTAGTAAGTTTTTGTTAAATTAGTACCATGTGCATTAGGGTGGTCCAAAAATGCATGTGAAAAAGTAAAGTCGGAATTTTTATGCTCTCACCCCCTAGGATTGTTCTATACCGAAAAAATATCCCCTTATTTCTTAATTTTGAAATCAAAAAATATTTAGAGGTCGCCCAAAGTTTTCCATGCGTTTTATATGAGGAAAAACAACTTTTCGTAGAAATGGTATAGAATTTTTAAAAATCAATATTTTTCTATCGGAAAATTATATTCGTCTGCTGGAGATTCACAATAATAATACCCAATTGTTTATTTAACCATTTTTTCATCGCAACTATAATTTATTGGTCCGCCAAAAACCCACGAAAGCCCCGAAAAATGTAATGGAGGGGACCAATTTGATTTGATTTCAAAATAAAAAAATAGGGTTATACTTTTTTCGATTTAGAACAATCCTTGGGGGTGAGAGCATTACAATCAGTGTTGCCATTTTAGCCGTTTTCCGGCTAGATTTAGCCGGTTACGATAGCAAACAGCCGGAGAAATTTCGATTTAGCCGGCAGCCGATTTGTTAGCCGTTTCGCAGAAAAAAATTAGCCGTTTTTAGCCGGTTTTGCTATTTGCCTTGTTTTCTTAAATTTCAAATATGTATATATGTTGCTGAGAGCTTATTTAAATTCCAAAAAACCGAATGCCAACTTGAATTAAAGGAACCAACACTGAAGTGAGTCAAAATGAAAATAAAAGAGCACAAATTTCTATGTAAAGCAAAACTCTCTGGGAATCCTACGAGACATCTGCCGGTCATATGACCGGTCATCTAAATGGGAGATCTGCAGTCTTTTGGCATCATATTTTACATCAGGATTCAAGGGATTTCTGAAAAATCTGACCAGTTCTTTGTGTAACTGTGATTTTGCACCCCTCGGTTGATGTTAACTTAAGGTCGTTGTTTTACTGCCTTAAAATTGAAGGGAAATTTTTACTGCGTTTTTTATGTGTATTGGTTTATATTTGAGTGTATTGAGAATCGGTCAGTCTGAAAAGGCCTTGTAGGCAGTGTTGCCGCGAAAAATTTTTAGTGGTAGCTAAATTCCTTTTAAAAAAGGGCTAAAAAAAGTCGTTGTGGCTAAAAATGGTAGCTAAAATTGTTTACTTACATATACATATATAAGTATACACGCAAACATTTTCAATAAGTAATGGTATATAAAAACAAATAAACTCTGGAAAAAAAGCTAATATTTTATCCAGCCAAAAACCTTTTTGTATAAAAGGGAAAATATACGACACCAGCTTGCTGGTTTCACCAAGTGATTGTACCATCAGGCTCGAAGCATATAACTTACTACCATGCTGGTATAATATTTATTTCTTTACAAATGAGGTCGAGGAAAGATCGAAATGTTTAGAGCCGAAAGTTCATAATTTTTCTAGCATTTTGTTAAGCATAATTTTTTTTTTTTTTAATTCACAACTGCAATATCGTGAACTTAATCTTCCACAAACACGGCTTTGACTCAGATAGTGCAAGAAATTTCCGCCAAAATACTTTTTACTTAGAAAATTGAGCTAATTTCACCACTCACGCCATCAGCATGCTGGCACAATCACACCACAAGAACATACACGGTCAATCGACTTGATGGGTCATTTAACAAAATTAGCATATTACGGGCCGTAAACTTATCTATTTTAAACTATAGTTAAACTATAGTGAATAGATAAGTTAACAGCCCTAACACTTTTACAGTATGTATGTATAAAATGTATAAAAGCGTAAGGAATATACAATACATATATGAACATATATATACATATATCAGTCTTTCATGGTTTAAAAATTCATCTTCAAAAAATTTCAATTTGTCAATTTCAAAAAATCATTCAACAAATTAAAAAAAAAAAGAAACAAATTAAGCATATACAACTTTTTCATGCCAAGTATGAATAAATTCCCCAAAGGGCTAAAAAAAGGGCTAGGGGCAATTTTAAATTTATGTGGCCAAAAAAAGTATGTGGTAGCTAAATCTAGCCACCAAAGGGCTACAACGGCAACACTGCTTGTAGGGAAGACAATAGGTTTGTTCGTCGAAAATCCAGGGAGAATTATCACTCAAAATATCAGATAGGAAGAAAAATGCTCCCAAACTCTCTCTCATGTAGAGAAACCCATGATAAAAATATAGTAAGGTAGAACCGCTGAGAGTCAATTTTAAATTCTTGACGTTTCCAAACAATTTAATTTTTAAATTTACTCACAAACTCACACACACATTTTCATTTTCAATCTCAAGCAACAACAACAAAGTGTCCACAGTTGCATTTCAAACAAAAGAAATATGTATAGAATTTTTAAAATTCTTTCAGAGGGGCAAAAAAGAGGATCTACGTGTATATATCTTGTCAGTCTGACTTTCTTCAACATACGTTTCAATTTCTTTGTCGGGTTTACTATATCGACTCTGGTTGAGATTGCATTCCGATTAAGAATACAGTTTTTTTGCCGAGTACCTTGCAAATCATTGGAATTAACTAAATTAATTAAGTAAACTTAACTTACATTTTTCATTTTAAAATCGCTCAAGTTTGTAAATTTTTAAATTTAACGAACTTGTTTATTCAAATTATCGTCGACAAAAAATCCAACCATGTGCCACAATCATATGTTTTTCCTAATTGCAAATTCTTGCTGGCAAAACTTTTTCCGGCTCGAATTTGTAACTTCTCTCCAAGAAAGAGTCTTTTTACTCGTGATTTATTTAAATGAAACATGTGAAATTTAGTTGAAACATTTTAGCCGTTTTTAGCCGGTTTTATTTGCCAATTTAGCCGGTTCGTCCAAAAAGTTCTGGCAACACTGATTACAATACCTACTTTACTGGTTTTGGACCGCCCTAATGTGCATACACCCAAGAAGCACTTGATTCCGTCCCAGCCATTTCCGTTGCACCATTTCCGTGTGCAATTTCCGTTGAATTTGCCAATTTACTCCCAACCAACCAACCGCCGCTTAAGAAGTTTCGCTGAATTCCATACTAAATTTTGCTTCGGGTGTATTTATAGATTTATTTTTTTTGTCGCACTGTGTATTTATTCGTTATTGACTCTGATGGTGTAATCAGTCCCCTTAATTCACACCTTATCTCAACTACTAATGGGGGTACGCAAATATATCGATGGGTTTGATAAAAGCAATTAATGTTTCCTAGTACTGCGTTTAGACCAGGGAACTTTTGTTGCGGTAGCGCGTAACTTATGGAAGAGGAAGCAACGAGGAAAGCGGACACGCACCTAGTCGCTGGTACTCTGGCGACACGCTTTGTGCAAGAATGATACATCGTGCGGCAAAAGTTTCTGTGGGTAAATTAAATCTAACTATGTATGTACATATGTATATACATATATAAGGCCTATCAATCAGCGGCATTGTTGTTGCTTACTATAAATACATATGATTACAAATAAGCTTTTTTGACTCATAGCCTTATCGTTTGTACAAAAAATGGTCTCATTGCCCCCTTCTTGCTGTATTGGCGAAGTAGGTAATATGAAGTTAAATATGAGTTGATAACATTTTTTCGGAAGAAAATTAAAGCCTATTGGACCCGTACATATGTACATACTTATGTACATATGCACGTATGAATATGTGTATGCGTCATCTATTTCCAGTGAAATTTAATTTAATTTCTTGTGTTTATTTTATATTCATATGTTTGACACATTTCGTTTTTATACTCAGTTAACAGTCAGCTGTGAGCCACAGAAGTTACTCGCGCTCGATTTCTTTTCATTTTATTAATTTTAATAACACTCTATACAAAATGAATAAAGTGCAAATTTTACTCGCATTGGCTCTTGTTGCGTGCTTTTGTGTTACATTAAGTAAGTGAAAAAAAATGTGATTGTGTGTTTTATAGGAGTCTTTTCCTCAAAATTGTGAAACAAGTAATTTTTAAGCAAAAATGATAAAACCGACTTCAATTCTCATATAAAAATTTAATTTCTTCATGATTCAATGAACGGATCTAGACCAAATTAGTATCAGACCATCTCTGAGGTACATTTCCTATAAAAAAATTATAGAAATCGGTTAACGTGGTCCAAAGTTATGCGGTAACATACATAAAAAATATATATATATTTCGAAGAATTTATATAACCTCCTCCTCTTTTTTAAGTCGGTTAAAAATCGAATATGAAACTAAACACGAAATATATACGTACATATGTATGTACATTAGACTGCATCCCTCCCCTTACAAAAAAAAAAAAACTGTACTGTTTTTCATTGGGACTATAAAACATATTACATTTTAAGGTTTGTGCGAAATATTTCGGAAAAATATTAAGATTTACGTGAGCTGGACCGATTTGGAAAAAAAAACCTCAAAAAAGTGTAGTTTTTTATGAATCAAAAATATTTTTTTGAAGTATTTTTTGAAAAAATCACCTCAGATGACAAATCTGTTTAAGCTTAAAAACTCTGCATAAAAATAATATTTTAACGGTATCATAATAATGAGATTTTTTATGCTGTTTTTGGACTTTTTTCAAAGATTGGTTTAAGAAAAATATCAATAACTCAGCGAAAACTTTACTGATTTAGGCTTTATGTATCATTAGAAAGGTACTTTCATATTTTGTATCCCAAAAATTTAATATTCATTTATATACAGCAAGAAATACCACATTAATAAAATAATGTCACTGAAAGCAAGGTCTTCTTTGTATAAAAGAAAATTAGCATAAAAAACAAAAAAAAATAAATAATTTTTTTTTTTAGTTGGAAGTAATATTTTTGAAACAACTTCAAGGTTTATTTTTTTGTTTAAAGTAACAACGTAACTGAGGTTAAGCCTTTTTCAGTAAAGAGAATCAGCGTTAAAAAAATATATATATTTTTGTTAAAGTATATTCAAACTACAAAAAACATTAAAAATATATTGCAACTAAATATGTAGATAAGAATAGAAATCTAATTTTAGCTGAAAATGCGATTTTTTTGATCGAAGATGCAAAACCGCATGTGTACCAAAAATGCCACATAACTGCTCCTTTCTCTGACATTTTACGATATATCGTACAAATTTCTATGGGCCGTAGACCACGCGCAGGCAATTTTTTATAATTTTTTTACTTGTATTATTATTTTAAACAAAATAGTTGTGAAAATTTAAGTTTTGGTTTTTTTGGATGACTAGTTTAGAAAGTGGTATCAAAGGGTTAAGCACTCAAAACATTAAATTGATAGATCACCCGGCATACAGTCCTGGTAAACTGCGCGTACGACGATATTCATTGCCAGTGAAAGCTATTGACCCCTTCACCAAATTGGTTTTAGCGTTAGTAAACGTGCATAGATCTTGCTGAAGAATATCTTGAAAACCATTAAGATAATTTTTACCACCTGCTTGGTTTTTCCTTAGCACTTTTTAGTGACCCTCGCATTCATTCAATTTCGCCAAAAGTTAATAAAGGACATACATCTTTTTGCGCTGCGCACTTTCAGAGTTTAAGACGAGCGCATTTCTTTAAAAGTTAAAAAAAAAAGTTTTAAGTTTTTAGAAGCTTCGGCACGCCAACTATACACAGCGAAAATAGTGTTGTTACTAAATATGTTTCTCTCAACAAATTATTTGTTTATAGTTACAAAATCGTTTGATGAGAGAAATATATTTTGCTGACTTTTTTGTGAGTGTACTGAGAGCTATGGTTAGGAGCTGACGATATGTTAATAATAGCTAGGAAAAATTGAGGAATTTCATTGGCGATATAATTCGAAGAGCACTTAAAAATCGGGCAGGCATTCTTACTGTCCCACTGGGTGGGGAAAGTATTAATCGATATTTACTCGGAAGTAAAATTCCTGGGGTCACTTTTGCCACCAAATTATTTTTAAGATGGCCGTTGAGGTCTTGTTACGCAAGCTGGCGGAAAGTCGGAGGATTTAAACCGCAACAGGCAAGTCCATTGTAAAATATATCGCAGTGACATAGTCTGAAAGTACCAAATACCAGATACTATCAAAGATCATTTAAGAGCAAAATAGCTTGGAGGAGCTGAAGCTACTTGAAGAAACTTGGAATTAGTTTGTGTTACTCCTGTCTTAACAGTGACGTGTCAGCGCATTGCCATTACATCGGGTAGATGAATTTATAGTTAGTACGAAGTCTAGAATTAGCACTAGACCGAATACCAGATGTGTTTGCGACCCCCAAAACCCTTCCCAGCAAACTGAGGCGATGTTGAAGTACGTTGTTGTGTTTTTTTTTGTAAAACTGTACTTTTGTCTACCTTTTAGCGGTTGCTTATTGCACGCTCTACTTAAGCCTTTAAAATTCTTTTTAAAAAGGTCCTTAATATTTCTTTCTTTACTTCCAGCTAAATCTTTAAGTTGCTACATTTGTGATAGTTCGTCGGGTCAAAATTGCAATCACACCACAACCACCGCAACTTGCAACTCCTCATTGGCCCAGCAAACAGTGAATTATGGGGTCCAATACTTAAATGCGAATTTAACACAGCTGAATGCAACCAGTTCAACTTACAATTGCGTCTATGATTTAATTTCAGCAGGTGTGTATAAATACATATACTATGGTATATACATATGTACATATTTTAGAAAACTATTTCAGAAAACTTCAATTGACCGTTTATTATATCGCTTTTTCAGGCACCACCAATCACACCTACCTCGGTTGCGTTTACAGTACGGTGAACATTTGCAACTTTACACCAAGGTCGTATACAGCTCGCCACTGCTTAGTGTGCAGCGGTAACAATTGCAATCGCAATCCAGCGGATCGCGCCACTGGCAGCATCTTCACATTGACTGCGGCCATTGTTTTGGCATTTGTGGCAAAAATTATGTACAACTGAGTGGTCTCCAAATATTTTTTTTATTTTTTTTTTTGTAAAATAAATAATTGTTGTTATTAGTATTTATTAGTACATTAAAATTTGCTCAAATCTAAAATATTAAACAAAGTGTCTTAAAATAAATTCTCGTTTTTCAACTAAAACTTCTTTAGCTGAACGGAGTACATGTGTAGATACTTCTCCTTCTGAAGGGTGATTCAGTAAGACAGCAAATTTTATTTTATAAGGAAAACACGACAAACTTTATCGAAATAATTTGTTTTTATTGGATAATAGCCAATAAAAACTTGCAGCTTACGCCATAGTGGCACTTTGAAATAGGTAAATCTTGCCTGCGAATAATTTCCATCATCATAAAACCGAAAAATCTACTTTGGAAGTAAATGATTCATCAATACTTTTATTTTATTAAATTTATTTTGTGCATTTATACACCAAATCTTTAATTGGAATTTAAAAAAAAACATAGTAAAACATCTTCGGGCCACAGAGTTGAACCCATGACCCACAAGTGGGCAGTCTAACACGCATCCACTTGGCTGCAGAAATTGTTGAGAAAACATGGAAAAATACATACATACATACATATCTGTGTTCGTATGGAATAGTACTTAGCTTATGTCGGGAAGTTGGCTTTAGTATAATGCGGCATTCCCCTTATTCTTTAAACGACAAGGAATTTTTTGAATAAGAATATTGACTTGCTAGTATCGGAACTATTTCTTGCACGTTTATTTGCCAAAAGTTCTTCAATGGCTTGGCGCCAGTGAGTCATTCGCAATCGTATGCTGCGAGTGCCGCATTATACTAAAGGCAGCCTTTTGATATTACTCAGCGCACGGACTCCGAGAAAATTAATATTGGTAGATTTAACATGCTAACACGGTAATCGGTATCCTTAGGATAAATTGTATTATTATATAAAACAACAAAATATTATTTCACGTGAATAAAAGCTGTTTTTTCTTTTATTAAATTTGAATTGAAAAAGCGAACCTACTACAGAATACTCAAAAAGACATTTCGTATAAAATCTGATTCGATCACGGATGCCTTTATTCGGGCCATGTATTTATTAATTTAATAGGAGGGAGACTTAAAAAATCTTTCTCCGTCAAAGTCAACTTTTCATTTGAATTTAATGTGTTCGATGAAATACGAAAAAAGCGAACGATGAAATACGAAAAGTGCCTTCGTCTTGGTCTGCAGGCTGTATCGGAGACACAGCCGCTAATTTAAACGTAGAATACGTGAAACGAAAAACGAAAGCACACACTAAGAAAAAAATATCGATAACAAAAGCGATAATAATATTGATAGCAAAATCGATAACAAAATCGATTAAAACATCGATAAAAAATGTCGATTATTATATCCATAAGTTCCGAAAATATTGATAGCAAAATCAATGATGATATCGATAAAAATTTCGATAACAAACCCGATAAAATATCGATTATTATATCGATAAGTCCCGAGAGTAAAATCACGAAATGGTCTCCAGATTGAGTCTCCATCTATATCCTTTTCACTATAATTATCTTTACTTTATCTTTCTTCCTCTACCTTCATCTTTACTTTTATCCGTATCCTCATATTTTTCTTTATATTTATGTTTGTTTTTACTTTTATGTTTATCATATTCTTCATCTACATATTCCCCTTCACCTTTGCTTTTTATAAATATTGCGCCATCTGTTATTCAAAAGCCGAAGTACCTACAGACATATACTTTTTGTGTCCTTCTCTCACTTCCAGCGAATGCACGTGTTTGCAAAATGATGACGAAGTTATTTTGTATGGAAAATTATTTATGCCCATATATTTGAATCAATTAAACATACTTCCCATATACATACCAAATGAAAGGAACAGTCTTGAGTTTTTGACTAAAGAAAACAAAAACAAAATCATTCGAACGGATATCGAGCATTTTGGAAATAAAAAAAATTTGCTAATTTTTTTAACAATTTTTTGAACTAAAATGCTCAATATTTGTTGAACTTATATACAAATTGTACACGATAATATTTCCATTGCTCTAAAGAACCTATCTCCCGAAAATGAAAGTTTAACCTGCAAATCGTAAGTTGCTAGGCATTTCAAAGGCTCAAAATTGACCCCCAAAATAAGCCAATATTTACCGTTGTTTCTACCACCGAAAGCTAATTGGTTACTTACAAAAAAGATTGGGTCGCATAAGAATTTTGACACCTTCAAAGATTCATAAAAGATGATCTGCAATTAATAGATTGCAATACATTTTTCACTTCTACATATATTTTGATAACAAGTTCTAAACAAAAGTCCCAGAGAGGAAGCAGTGGAAAGATATTTTGTTTTGCTTGCCGCAGTGCTTACCTGCATTCAATTTCAACGCTTTCCGCTGTGAATTATTCGATAGCCAACTTTTGTATTCAACAATAATTCATAGGCACAAATCAAATGCTCTAGCTTGTAATTGTTGTAATTTATAATACTTTAATTAGCATATACCGGCAAGGAAACTCGGAAATGCGCGATGCACACGCTCTTCACACACGAATGGCATTTTAATCGCTGAGCAATTGGCCTAAACCAGTTCGCTAAAAAATAAAAATGTTTTCGTTTTATAAGATCACCTCACTAACACCTCGAATAATTATAGCCCTGCTTGCAATAGATTTAACTGCGGTGGGCAATAATTATAGGCTAACACCTTGTCATGATTCATATTTCTCTTAAAAAAAATGAATGACCACAAATTGATTCTAATTCGAAGTGACTGTGCGAGTGGTTGTTTAGGCATGTATGTACGCATTCAAAGCAACACTCCTTCTTTCAGATAAATTGAGCAAGATATTGAATGAAATAAATCAAAAAAGGAAACTACACAAATATGTAATTAAATTAAATAACATAAAATAAACTAGACAAACAAAAGATTTAGGCAAGTTTGAGTGACTGAATTCAGAACGAAACCTAAAATAATTTGGGCTTATTTTAAAAGAAAAATCTTACTCAGGTACGCCTCTTCTTCAAGCTGTAACGTCTTTTATATTAAGAAATTTCTCAGCTCAAAAATCCCGTGCAATTACTTATGGGTTTATGATTATTTCAGTATTATAAGTATTTAAAAAATTCAGTGCAATGTAGAATAAAAATAATGGTGTCACATAAAAGTAAAAACTCTGTAGAATTATAACAAAATAAATTTTTTGGTGCATAAGGACGAATGAATATGGAAAAAGTCCATTTTAAATATCCTTAAAAATTTGCAATATTTATTTTTGAAAAAATTATCCTAATAATCGAATTTGGTCCTGCAAACTTTTTTAACTTAAAAAGATAAAATTTATTAAACGCGAAATTTCAATACCTATTCGTCCTTTTAAACCAAAAAAACTTTATTGTTTTTAGATTACACGAAATTTTCTCTCTCATTTGGAACCCATATTTTTATTCTACGCTGCACTGATTTTTTTTCAAATAATTTTTTGAATTAATCACATCATTAAAATTTCAAAGGCCTTTGAAAAAGAATCCTGACGTCAATAGTCATAGTTTCGTGGGTATGTCAATTCTTTCGTTTGTTTTGAAATTTTTTTGTTTTTGTCACACGGTGTTATTTTATCAATAAATGGGCCGCGATAGCTTTAATTACTGGACTTAACCTTATTCCCACTATTTGATAATAGTAACAGCCAGTGTTGCCAGATTAAAAAAAACTGTAAATTTCCCGAAAAAACGGGTTTTCCATTATTTTAAAATAAATAAATAACATAAACCATTTAAATTATTCTTAAATAAACAAAAATTGACCTTATAAAAGGTAACATGTAAATCACATCTTGGTTTAATGATTTCAGTTTCATTATTTTTCGTAAAATTCTTTGTTAATTTTTTTAAGCATTGGGTTCTTTTAAACTAACCGAATCATACGTTTCAGAGAAAACTCCAAAATAATCGTTTAAAGTTGAAAATAATCTGGACTAAATCTTGTCTCTTAATGTCCCATATTTCTATTTTATTTGAAAAAAATACCAGCTCTTTCTTGGCGTTTTTCGTGGTGGTTCCCCTAGTACTGATAAAAATTAGTGGACTTTTATTAATGCGAAATTTTATTGCGCCATAAAGATAACTAATTAATGAAGTTGATGTGCTCCATTAAAATGGTAGTATGTTAACTTAAGTAGCCCCACATAGATTGCATGTGATTGTGCTTAAATGATAAGAACTTGGCCAATATGAAACAATTTTTTTTGTTATACTAGCCTTTACCGGCGGGTTTCACCCAACGTGCAAAATAGTTTTAAAATGTTAGCATAATTGCTACTTTTAGCAGCGAAATTGACCCATTTACCAAAGGAAGGAAATTCAACTTGACTAGACCCACCACCTTGGCAAGGACATAAATTGAGTTGAGTTCAGAAAAGGCGTAGTATCAAGTGCCGCAGACTTCATGGTTAAACCTATTACATACGCGGCACTGGCCCGGTGACCAAACCAAAGCAAGTAAATGCGAATGTCACCTTGAGAAAGCTACAGCGCTTAGTGTGCAAAGCCATCACAAGAGCTATGCGCACCTGTCCAACGGATGCCCTTCGTGTGATTAAAGGCATTCCACCTCCGTCAATTCAGATCAAAAGTGAGGCCTGCTGGAGCGGATTCCCAATGTAAGCAGCATGAAAAGTGGTAGTCTTGGGGTCAGTTGAAGGTTCTGAAGCCATTTCTGGATAAACCCGTCATGAAGCTCACAGATATCTTGCTACCGAAAATATCCTTTATTCTATTCCTGAAAGGGACTGCTGTTAAGTGTTAATATCTATGACAGAAAAAGGGTCTGAAGTATGGTATACTGACGGATGGAAGATTAACGACGGGATTACTGGGGCAGACGTACTTTGATCCAGATTCCAGACCCAACTATATTCCAGGCGGAAGTCTTCGCAGTCGAAATCTGTGTTCGAGAATGTCTTCGTTGAAGGGAAGACAGGGCCAGAATAAATAGTTTATCAGATAGTCAGGCGGAATTAAAGGCCTTAGACTCATTTATAAAGACATAAAGGCAGTTGCAAAACTCTTTAGAACCGCCTAGGAGGCCACCATATTGAGACGCTGGGATGGGCCCCTGGACATGAAGAATTTGAAGGCAATGAAAGGGCTGACTCTATCGAAAAAC